CCTGCAGGTCGGTGTGTTCCCTGCAGGTCGGTGTGTTCCCTGCAGGTCGGGGGGTGCCCTGCAGGTCGGTGGGTGCCCTGTAGGTCGGTGTGTGCCCTGTAGGTCAGTGGGTGCCCTGCAGGTTGGGTGTGTGCCCTGCAGGTTGGTGGATGCTCTGCAGGTCTGGTGTGTGCCCGCAGGTTGGGTGGGTGCCCTGCAGGTCAGTGGGTGCCCTGCAGGTTGGTGGATGCGCTGCGGGTCTGGTGGGTGCCCTGCAGGTTGATGGATGCACTGCGGGTCTGGTGGGTGCCCTGCAGGTTGGTGGATGCGCTGCGGGTCTGGTGGGTGCTTTGCAGGTCTTTGGGGGCACAGGGAGGCCTCTGCGGGCTGCAGATTATGCTTCTCAGGCTGCCCAGGGAACTGTAGCCCCCTTTCAAAAACATCCGTCCCTGATTTAGGTTTAGATTTACATACAGGTATATGATGTAAAGCATATTTTTCATAGATTAAAATAAATGTGGAGTAGAATAAAAACATCACACTATTTTTTAAAGATAAAATGAAGTTTGGGAGGCTGAGGAGGGCAGGTCACGAGGTCAGTGGATCGAGACCATCCTGACCAACATGGTGAAACCCTATCTCTACTAAAAATACAAAACAATTAGCTGGGAGTGGTGGCGTGTGCCTGTAGTCCCAGCTACTCAGGAGGCAGAGGCGGGAGAATTGCTTGAACCCAGGAGGTGGGGTTGCAGTGAGCTGAGATCGCACCACTGCACTCCAGCCTGGCCACAGAACAAGATTCTGTCTCAAAAAAAAAAAAAAAAAAAAAAAAAGGGAAGTGATTTCACCAACACATAGTCAGCAATGCTGACAGGCTTCCTAATGACTTCTCAAATGTCAGGGGAGCCTTTGGGGGAAAGTTTGAGAAGCCAACCCTAAGGGGTAATGAGGTGAATAGAGGATGGGAGAGAAGGAAAAAGGAGAAAAGAGAAAAGGGAGAAAGAAAGGCCTGGAGGCGGTGGGGAGTCAAAGAAGAACGAGAGAGTATTCACCGGTCATTGTCCTAAAAGTGTCCGTTCTCTCTCATTTTCTCCAACCACAGTAGCGCCTCACCAGGCCTGAACAACCCAAGAACTCAGGGCCCTTTACTTCCAGTCCCACATGGCTGGCTGTGCCGGGAAACACAGCTCCCTCTTTCGAGAGCCCGTGGGAGGCATGCTCTCTTTCTCATCAGTTTCCTTTCCCTGGACATGATCCACATTAGAGACAGACATGTTGCTGCTGCCGTTTGTATTTTTTTTCTCCAGGCAGACCCATAAAGCAAGTTTTTGCTGGGCATGTTATTTGCATGGTGAAAAGAACAAGCCATCTCCTTATTGAGGGAAACAGACATAGGGGCTGGGGTGGGCAGGGCTGGGCTGGTGACCCAGCTTCCCTTCACAGCTGGAGGCGGAGGGGCAGTCCCCTCTGCTGATGTGCGGGTGTCCTTCCCGGGGTGTGATTGAGAGCGTCCTTCCCCGGGCATGTGGGAGTCGGTGCTGCGCCAGGACTGCACAGGGAAGCGGCCTGTCCCTCTCCAGGCATCTGCAGTGGATGGCAATGGCTTCGGGCCACAGAGGGCAGGCAGGGCAGGTGTCCTCCATGCTCAGTTGTTGTCTCTGGTGTCCGAGGAGGCACTTCCAAACAAGATGTCACTGTCCTGGGACATGCTGAGCTGTGACTTGGTTTTGATGAGGAACTGTGCCCTCCGGAACATCACCCTCTCCTGCTCCTGCTTGAGCTCCAGGTAGGAGCGGGAGAAGGTGTGGAAGATGGAGGTGACCGGGAAGGCCATGAGCAGGATGCCGCTCAGGATGCTGCTCAGCGCCACCACCTGGCCCGGGGTGCTCCTGGGGACCATGTCGCCGTAGCCCACCGTTGTCATGGTGATGACGGCCCACCAGTAGCAGGCAGGGATGCTGGTGAACTCGGGGCTGTCGGCCATCTCATTCTCGATGACGTAGAGCAGGGGCGCGAAGAGGGCGATGGCCACGCAGAGGAAGAGCAGCAGGAGCCCGAACTCGCGGGTGCAGCGGCGGGCCGTGAGCCCCAGCGTCTGCAGCCCCAGGGAGTGGCGCGCCAGGCGCATCACGTACAGGATGCGCAGCGCCCGCAGCACGCGCAGCACCAGCCCCACCTTGTCCAGGTAGCTGTTGCCCGCGCTGGGCTTGCGGCGGCCCGCGGCGGCGCCGTCCACCAGCAGCGTGATGTAGTAGGGCAGGATGGCCACCAGGTCGATCAGCGTCAGGGGGCTCCGCAGGAAGGTGAACTTGCTGGGCGCCTGAATGAACCGCAGGAGGAACTCCAGCGAGAACCAGCCCACGCACACCGACTCCACGATGAAGACGTTGTGGCACATCTGGGAACAGTGGCCCTGGGAGAGAGAGGAAGGGGTGCCAGAGGAGGAAGGGAGTCATTGGTCCCACCAGGGGAGGACCGCGGAAGTTCTGCCCTGTGCCTGTTCTGGGCTTCCCAGGCGGAAGGAAGGTGACCCCTTGCGGTTGAGTGGCCCCGGGTCCTCTCTCTAGTTGTGCCCACTGTGAGGTCTGGGGCAGTAGGCACTGTCTCCACACTGGCCACTCCTCATCTCTCTCCAGCCCCCACCTCAGCCCTGAACTCCAGACCGCCCAATCAGCTGCCTCTCTGACCTCCCACCTGGGTATCTGAGAGGCATCTCAAATTCGCTGTGGCCAACACAGACTCCTGGTCCCCTGCCCTCTGGTGGCTTTCCCTCCAGAGCTTTCAGCAGTCCCATCCTTCCAGTTGCCCAGGACGAGAGACCTGACGTCATCCTTAGCACCTATGTCTAATTCCCAGGAAGTCTCTTTGTTTAAAACAGTGTGAGAATCACACCCGCTGCCCACTGCCCCCACCTGGTCGGGCCACCGTCCTTTCTTACCTGGACGGTTGCAGTCACCTCCCCCTGGGCTCCCTCATCCCTGCAGTCCATTTTCCACACACAGCCAGAAGGGTCCTGTTCCTCCTCTGCTTAGCAGCCTTTGTGGCTCCCGATGGCTCTGAGGAATAGTCCCCACCCTGGGGTGCACCTGGACCATCCATTTGTCCATCTGTCCATAGGCCCTGGACCTCCTCCCTGGTCCTTGCACACCTGCTCCAGCCTCGTGGCTTCCTCTGCATCCCTCTGACACCCCGCTCACCCCCAGACCCCCTAAACACCCACATTGCTCCCATCCCCCTTCTCCAGCTCTGCTTCTGTCATCGCCTTCTTAAGGAGAGATTTTGTGACTCCCCTGTTTAAAATCCCCCAATTTTCCTGCACCCCAATTCCCCTTATCCTGCTTTTTGTTCAGCACTTATTACTGTTCAATATGCCTTACACGTTACTTACCATTTTTTTTTTTTTTTTTTGCCTGCATCCATCCCCACCCGCTCAGCTGCACCAGCAGGTCCCAGCCTCACCAGGAAGGGCAGTTGGTATGCACTGTTTACAGCTCAGACCCCAGGCCATGGAAGAACAGGCTATGGGTTTAATAGAGTACAAACCCAAAAGCCACCAGGGGCCAGGCAGGCCAAGGAAACTGGAATAGAGGGCCAGGTAGGACTGCCTCCCCCAGCCTCCCCAACCCGCCAGCTTGTCCTGTCCCCCTGCCCCCGGAGAGCTCAGCCATCTTGTTCAGTGCCCCCATCACTGCCCTGGGCAAATTTGGGCTAAGGCTGCCTCACTGAAGCTTTCAAAAGAGGCTGAAAATGTGCAGTTTTACATGAACTCTCCTGGTGATAAATGTCGGTGATAATACTTGGTTAAATAGATAAAATGTCGATTTAAGTGCTGGTGGTAATAAATTCAATGCAAAGAAATACTGTATGGGCCACCGGAACACATCTGTGTGCTGGGTTTGGCACGCGGGCTGCCAGCTTGTCTCTCTGGTCTGGAACATAACTGGGTGGTAAATAGCCCTTAGTGGATTTGCGCCTCATCCTTGAAGGGGCCTTTGGCAGTGAGGAGAGGCCAGCGTGGCTCCAGCCTGGCACACCTCCGAGGCTCTGGGCACAGCTGAGTTCTACCAGTCCCACTCCAACAACTGTCTCTAGGAATATGTTAGGAGCTGGAGGTATGAGCTAATACCTGGGGGGGGGGGGTGGCTTTAAGGTCTTAGACCTCTGGGATGGGAAGCCCCTTCCTCTGGGAAGCCTTCCTGGAGTGTGCCCCCCCAAGCAGCTCCAGCAATGCCAGCATGCCTCCCACACAAAGCTTCTTTGACTTGTGTCTCATGCTTACGGTGTTGGGGGGCAGGGGAAGAGGCGTGTCACTACTCCATCCCAACCCCAATAGACTGGAAGCTCCTTGAGGTTGGAAGAGTTGTCCTGGTCACCCTGTCTCCCCAGCAGTGCCTGTATACAGCAGGCACTCAAATGTGTGCACAAGGAGCAAGTGAAACAGTGAATCCCACTGGCCCCCAAAATGAAGAACAGCATTTTCACTGAATCCTAAACAAGGCAAAGTATTATTACTTTTTAAAAAAGCAAGTATCAGAAGTTGAACCAAACCATGGCTTTATTAGTAGTTTTCTGGTAAGATCACCATCAATATGTTGGAGCTGAGAAGAAATTTATACTAAGTGCAGCAATTTGCAGACAGGTCTCAAGTGGTGAGCATTTTCCCTTTCCTTTCTTTTTCTTTTTGACCCTAATCCTTGAGTTAGGACTTTCTGCACATTCACTACGAACCACTTCTAATCCCTTCATGTGGATTCAGTCATCCCAATCACTATTTTTTTTTTTAGACGGAGTTTTGCTCTTGTCGCCCAGGCTGGAGTGCAATGGCGTAATCTTGGCTCATCACAACCTCCACCTCCTGGGTTCAGGCGATTCTCCTGTCTCAGCTTTCTGAGTAGCTGGGATTACAGGCATGTACCAACATGCCCATCTAATTTTCTATTTTTAGTAGAGATGGGATTTCTCTATGTTGGTCAGGCTAGTCTTGAATTCCTGACCTCAAGTGATCTGCCTGCCTTGGACTCCCAAAGTGCTGGGATCACAGGCGTGAGCCACTGCACCCAGTCCCAATCACTTCTAATCACTTCATGTGAACTCACTGAATCCTTTCAACACTGTGAGGTGGGCCTGTTCATAACCCCCCTGGACAGGTGAGAAATCAGAGGCTCAAAGAGGTTAAGTGACTTGCCCACAGCTATGGCATAGCCAGAGTGGAGAAACAGGATTAGAACTCAGGCCATCTGGCTCTAGCCCTGACCTCTTCATCACTACCCCTCATGCTTATTGAAAGTTAATTTTACCAGCTGGATGTGATGGCATGCACCTATAGTCCCAGCTATTAAGGAGGCTGAGGCAGGAGGGATGCTTGAGTCTAAGAGTTCGAGTCCAACCTGGGCAACGTAGCAACGCCCCATCTGTAAATTAATTTTTTTTTTTGAGACAGGGTCTCATTCTGTTATCCAGACTAGAGTACAGTGGTGTGATTGTGGCTCTGCAACCTCCACCTCCCAGGTTGAAGCGATTCTCATGTCTCAGCCTCCCACGTAGCTAGGATTATAAGTGAGTGCCAACATGCCTGGCTAATTTTTGTATTTTTAGCAGAACTGGGGTTTTGCCATGTTGGCCAGGCTGGTCTCGAACTCCTGACCTGAAGTGATCCATCTGCCTCAGCCTCCTTAAGTGCTGGGATTACAGGTGTGAGTCACCACACCTGGCCTAAAATTGTTTTTTTTAATTTAAAAAAATTTAAAAAGTTTACTAGTTGAATGCTATTTTCTTAATCCCCATTTAAGAAATTCATTTTATAAGCCAGGCATGGGGGCTCACCCCTGCAGTCCTAGCACTTTGGGAGGCAGAGGTGGGAGGATTGCTTGAAGCCAGGAGTTTGAGGCCAGCCTGGGCAGCAAAGCAAGATCCCATCTCTTAAAAATAAATAAATTAATTAAAAGTATACAAAAAATACAAGCAAGCCTCCGTGGATTATTACTGCAACAGCTATTGTGATTTCCTTCACATACACAAGTGGAAAAATCCTGCCATGGTGAGCACTTCTAATGTTAAATTCTAGAGTGCATGTAAAGCACTTAGCACATGCAGGGTATACAGTCAGTGCTCAATAAATACTGGCTGCCATGATATTTACATTCAGTTCACACCGCCATACCTATTTCTCTGCTGCCTATACAATTTATACCTGTCTGAGACCTTTCAGTCTTTCTTGAAGCTTCCAGAATTCCCATGTATAGGGAAGGAGTCACCGACTCTAAGGCCCATGGTCTCATACACAAGGAGACTGAACTGGGCCCCTGTGGACTCGGCTCTCACCAGGAGCTGCCATGCAGGACTATAGGCTGCTGTGTATGTGAGGGGGCACACAACCTTACAATTTTTAAAATTAAATATATTTATTTATTTTTTGAGACAGAGTCTCAACTCTGTCACCCAGGCTGGAGTGCAATAGCATCTTGGCTCACTGTAACCTCCACCTCCCAGGTTCAAGTGATTCTCCTGCCTCAGCCACCTGAGTAGTTGGGACTACAGGTGTGTGCCACCACGCCCAGCTATTTTTTTTTTTTTTTTAAGGAGAGATGGGGTTTCACTATGTTGGCCAGGCTGGTCTCAAACTCCTGACCTCATGATCTGCCTGCCTTGGCCGCCCAAAGTTCTGGAAGTACAGGAATGAGCCACCACGCCCAGCCTTTACATTGTATTTTTTTAGAGATAGGGTCTCACTCTGTTGCCCAGGCTGGAGTGCAGTGGCAGGATCATGGCTCACTGCAGCCTCACCTCTAAGTCTCAAGCAATCCTCCTGCCTCAGCCTCCCAAGTAGCTGGGACTATAGGTGCAGGCCACCACACCTGGATTATTATTATTATTTTTGCAGAGACAGGGTCTTACTACATTGCCCAGGCTGATTTTGAACTCCTGGGCTCAAGCGATCCTTCTGCCTCTGGCTCTCAAAGTGTTGGGATTATAGGCATGAACACCTGGCCTGATCTTACGATTTTTAAAAGAAGCTGAGGTTTTAAATTTTTATATGAAAACTCCCCTTTTAATGTTGGCAACCAAGTCAAACTTTTGGGAAATCCTGTGTGGGCCAATCACATAGTCCTTCCTGTGGGGCTATATTATGTCCCCAAGCTGCCACGTGGGCACCATATTTCCATGCTTACAAACATGGACTGGACTTAGACCTGGTGTTGGGCAGTGTCCTCACGTACAGATTGGCGTGAAAACACTTCCCCCCAGGGTCGCTGGAGTATTCCCTGGGGAGTTGAGATGTAGGTGGCGTGTGCAGCCCAGCTCCCGCTCCCGAGAACTCCCAGATGAGTGGGAGTCCCTAGACCGTACCACATACCCCATGTCAGGCCCTGGAGTAAAAACACTTTCCATTCATTCTCTTATGGACCAAAATAAATGCTCACCATTTGCAGATACACATGTACCCATCAACAAAAATTATCTTCAGGACCCAGAACAGGTGTCTGGGCTACTTGGATGCAAGAAATTCGGAAGGCTGAGAAAGGGTGGAGTGGTCGAGATCAGTCTGATGATATATGTCATGTGTTTCGCTCGGGGCCAGGCATGTCAAAAATCACATCATCCATTTATTCACTCATTTGTTCATTCAACAAAGGAACAAATGTAGTGGTTGAGTGCCTGTTTGTGCTGGACACTGTTCCAGACACTGGTGGGGGGAAGGGCAGTGGCGGGGCAGTGGAGGCCAGGACAGGCACAGGCATGGACCCCCATGATGCTCACCTATTAACAAAAAGGCAGACCATGCACACAAACATTCCTGATGTCAGGAGGGACCAGGGATGCTATTCAGCCAGTGTGCAATCAGGGGAGGCTTCCTCGAGGAGGTGACAACGCTCAGCGTCCCTTCCCTCACGGTGGCGCGTCTCCCCGCGGGGCAGTGGGCTCTTACCTGCTCCTCCTCCTCCCTCAGGCTGGGCAAGGTGCTGACAGAGAGGTTGACGGCGGTGACGGTCACGAAGAGCACCGACAGGCAGGCGAACACCTTGCCCGGCAGCCCCGAGTGCGGCCTCTCCACCATGTCGCGCAGTCGCCGCATGCAGCACCCCAGGCGGCCCTCGCCCTCGGCTGGGCCCTCGCTGTCGCGGCCCTCGCTGGCCAGCGCGTCGTCCTCCTCCTCCCGCTCCACCATCTCTGCGAACTCCTCGATCTTCTGCAGGTAGCGGCGCTTGCAGCAGCCGTCCAGCTGGTCCTCCGCGATGCCCCAGTACAGCAGCTCCTCCTGGAAGGACAGCGCGCACATCTCACGCAGCAGCCGCAGCTTGCCCGCGCGCAGGAAGGTCAGGATGGTGCCGAAGGCCCCTGGGTTGCGGTCGAAGAAGAACTCGTTGCAGGTGACGTCGTAGTCATCGCACACGTTGAGGATGTCGTCGAAGTTGGTGCAGGCCTTGAGCTGGCCCAGGCGCGTCAGCGGGAACTCGTCCAGCGTGGTCCAGGGCAGCGAGTACTTGATGCCGCCCACGTTGATGATGATCCGACGGCGGCGGTCCTCGGGCTGGCCGCCCTGGCGGGGCTCGTCCTGCGGCCGCAGCCGCTGCGCCCGGCGGTAGAACGCGCCCTTGATGGCCTGGCGCTGCGGGAGGAAGGCAGGGTGGAAGGAGGCGTCCGAGGTGCAGCTCAGCGCGCTGTAGTCGTAGTCAGAATTGTCTCCCGGTAAGAGGGTCATTTTGGGCCTTCACATCCCTCTCGGGCCTGTGGGGAGAAGGGAGGAAAGACCCTCAGCGACCACCCCTACCTTCACCTTGCTGAGAATGTGGATGCCGCAGATATTCACTGTTAGGGATGGAATCTTTGTCCCCCAAATCCATAGGCTGCAGCCCCTAGCCCTCGATGGGATGGTATTAGGGGTGGGGGCTTTTAGATGTGATTTGGTTCAGATGTCGTTATGAGAGCAAAGTCCCCACGATGAGATTCACATTCTTATAAGAAGAAGAAGAGAGGTGGGGCACCATGGCTCACGCCTGCAATTCCAGCGCCTTGGGAGGTTGAGGCAGGTGGATCATTTGAGGTCAGGAGTTCGAGACCAGCCTGACCAACATGGTGAAACCCTGTCTCTACTAAAAATACAAAAATTAGCCAGGTATGGTGGTGTGCACCTGTAATCCTAATCCTAGCTACTAGGGAAGTTGAGGCAGGAGAATCTCTTGAACCTGGGAGGTGAAGCCGAGAGCCGAGATCGCACCACTGTACTCCAGGCTGCGCGACAGGGCAAGACTCCATCTCGAACCAACCAACCAGCCAGAAGAGGCAGAGACACCAGGGCTTTCTCTGCCATGTGAGCACTCAGAGGGGCATCTAAGTGAGAAACCCAGAGGTGAGCGCTGCTGGCATCCTGCTCTCCAACTCACAGCTGACAGAACTGGGAGAAATGAGTGCTGCTGAAGCCACCGGTCTGTGGTGTTAATATTTGGTTACATCGGCCTGAGCTGACAAACACATTCGCCTAAGAGTGAAATAGCAACGACACTGTCCAGTGTCGCCTAGCCGTCACAATTCTCCCACATCCATCTATGCACCGGGGATGCAGCCATGCACAGAATGTGAATGGGTCTCTGATCTCAGGTAGCTGACATCCTAGAGGATTTGCAGGTGACACAAGTACTGTTATTTACTTATCATTTAATTTAAATTGACTTTTTTTTTTGTATTTATTTGGCTTGGAAAAACAATTTAGTGTAGACCTACAGTTCTCATAGGGCTGATTTTGTCTCCCCAGAGACTTGTGCCAATGCCTGGAGGCCTTTTTGCTGGTCACGACTGGGGATGCTACTGGCTTATAGCAGGCAGAGGCCAGGGAATGCTGTCGCATGTCCTACAATGCACAGGACCGTCCCCACAACACAGACTTATCTGGTCGCAAATGTCCTTAATGCTGAGGGGGAGAATCCTGGTTAGTGGTTATAAATGTAACTTCAGAGCCACACAGCCTGCGTGGTGACTCAACCTCGATGTGCTCACGCCTGTAATCCCAGCACTTTGGGAGGCCGATGAGGGCGGATCACAAAGTCAGGAGTTTGACACCAGCCTGGCCAACATGGCGAAACCCCATCTCTACTAAAAATACAAAAATTAGCCAGGTGTGGTGGCGGGCGTCTGTAATCCCAGCTATTCAGGAGGCTAAGGTGGGAAAATAGCTTGCACCCAGGGGGCCGAGGTTGCAGTGAGCTGAGATCCTGCCATTGCACTCCAGCCTGGGTGACAAGAGCAAGACTCCATTTCAAAAAAAAAAAAAATTTCCTTGTCTATAAAATGGGTGACCTATTTGGTAGGATTACTGGGAGGCCTGAGTGAATTATGTACATAGGAGCACTTAATGCAGTGCCTGGCACATAGTAGATATGCAGTAATTACTGTCTATTATTATTATTATTTTTGAGATAAGAGTCTTGCTCTGTTGCCTAGGCTAGAGTGCAGTGGCACCATCTTGGCTTACTGCAATCTCCTCACCTCGGGTTCAAGCAATTCTTGTGCCTCAGCCTCTCGAGTAGCTGGGACTACAGGTGTACCACCACACCTGGTTAATTTCTGTATTTTTAGTAGACATGGTTTTGCCATGTTGGCCAGGCTGGTCTTGAACTCCTGATGTCAGATGATCTGCCCACCTTGGCCTCCCAAAGTGCTGGAAATACAGGTGTGAGCCACTGCGCCTGGCCTATTATTATTATCTTGAATGGACAACTTATATGTTTCCACTAATGGAAAACAGGGATCACTTGCCATAAGTCAGAAGCAATGGACAAAGAAATGCACAACTATCAAAGCAACGCCATGTTCATGTGTCAGCAAACACCACCTTGAGGATACAGGGTGAACTGGACAGGCACGTTCACCCAGAACGCCCTCCTTGGCCCCTCCAGCTAAATCCAGCACCCCTCCCCTGACAACTGGTGCATGTGTCTTCACAGCACTTACCACCAGCTCTAGAACTGTCTGTGTGCAAGCCTGGCTCCTTCCTTAGGCAGCCTGCTCCCTGGGGGAAGAAATGTGCTTTAGTCATCTCTGAATGCCCGTACCCAGCACTGTAAGGGTGCACAGAAGTGCTAGCTAAATGAGTCCATTTCCTGCTGAGGAGACCAGCATAATGAGGCCACTTCTGGGAAACTGAGGTCAAAATATCAATTTGCATGGACTCCTTCCTTCCCAACTCTCAAAGCGAAGGGTTTGTGCTGCTGAAACAAGATTGTGTATTCATTACCAGCTCATGGGCTGAATTTGGTTCACAAATATTTTGCTTGGCTTGGAGAAGTTTTTGAAAGTTGTGAAATTTCATGTAAAAATCCATCTTCTTGGCTTCTCTTAAAAAATCAGGATATCTGGCAATACTTGGCCCAAACACCAACTGAGAAATGGCTACTCTTTTAGGCGGCACCTGCCCCAATCCACCACAGTCCCCATCCCTCCCCATTGTCTTCCTAATGCCCACTCTAGTCCACTCGTGTGTTTCCTTCCTGGCCTTATAGGCATTTGAGTTTGAGACCCCTAGATTATAGCTACAGAGCTCTCTGGAATTAAGCCGATGCATAGAAAAGTTAGTAGGAGTCGAATACCCTGCTTTTAAAAATCACCAGCCTTCTCCCCAGACCAATCCCTGATGGAAGAAAGTGGTAAAGTCTGTCAATTGCAAATGGAAACCCATTTCCAATACTTAAATGTTGGTCGGTGCTAAGGCCATGTTCAGGAAAACACCTGCTCACAACACACACATACACAAACATGGGTGTGAATGAGGAAGTGTTTTAATAGGTGCTGGAAAGGGAGGGAGGGTGTTTCATGCGTAAAACGGGCTCCTTCCTAAGAGGAACTGCTTTACAAAAGCACATCACCACCCTTCTGCTACTCACTGATCTTTGCAGAAGGCTACAATCGCATAGATCAGGTTTTGGAAAACTAGGATACACCTGTGTTTGAAAGAAAAATGCTTTGATTTTAGACGGTTAGAGTGTTTTTAACTTCACCTAAAATTGGAACCCATGTCCTCAGGCATAGCCTGCCAGGATCCCTCGGAGGCGTGGGAATAATCCCTTTCAGGCACTTTCCTTGGTGATCTCTCTTTTCAGCTCTGCTGTTTCATCTTTGCTACCACAGACAAGAGAAAAAGTGACACTGTTTGGCAAGAATGGTGATGGAGGTAAAGGGAAAATGCCTCGCATAAGCCCCAGAGGGCTCTTGTGAATCCCCACAGCTGTAATCACCTCTTTTTAAGAATTTCGTTTCAACCCTCCCAGCATTCCCTCCAGCAGAAAACTCCCCCAATTAGAGATTTCTTTTCTTCACGCCCTGCCCCCATGTGAGTTTCCTGTGTGGAAAGTGATCCTGTCTCAGCAGTGTGGGGAGTATGGAGAGGCTGATGCCACTCAGAGGGTAATCAACATGCTAAGGACCTTGTTCTCAAAGCCAGAGTCCCCTGGGGAGATGCTAAGGCAGGAACTTGCTAAAGGAAGAACAGGCATATTTTTCCATGACCTTGGTCTTGCAGATCCCAAGCTGATGTGCGGTGGACGGCTCAGCACCCTAGACCCTACCCTAAAGTTCATAAATCAAACAGGCCCTGTTTCAGAAGCCTGGGTTTCTGAAAAATAATGCTGCTTTTCACCTGGTCTGATACCTTCAAAGAAATTTTTTTGTTTCTCCGTGGTGTTAGTTCTGTTGGTTCTACAGCATGGTGGGTTTTAGCGATCTTGCCTCTGAGGGTCTACGGATGCTCGGGGAGAGGAAGCTGTTTGAGGCAGAGGCTGCAATGGGGGAGGTAGTTCATTCATTCATTTTTTTGTTCATTTGTTCAATAGTTACTGAACACTCACCTCGTGCCATGCTCTGTGTTAGATCTGGAGACACGGCAGAGAAAAAGACCCAGCCCCTGTCCTCACAGAGGTGACCTTCTAGTGGGGGAGACCTTTCCAAATGAGCATACAAGTCATTTCAGGCTGCAGTGTTGTTGACAGGGCAGGTGAGAGATGGAGAGTGACTACTGTGGGATGCAGGGCAACATTAGCTGGAGGGGTGAGGAGGGCTTCTTGGAGGAGGGGACATGGGGCTGAGCCACATGGGTGGGTCCAGCCCTCTGAGGGCCTGGCAGAGGGAATGGCAAGAGTTTGCTCCCTGACTTGGGGGTAGGCTGGGATGATGGAAGACCAAGGAGAAGGCCAAGCACAGAGCAAGGGGAAGGTAGGAGTAGAGGGGGGCAGGGGCAGGTGCAGCAGGGCCCAGGGGCCGACAATAAGGAGCTGGGGCTTATTCCGCAGGGGACAGGGAGTCCATGCGCGCCTGCCAGGTCAGTGGACAGTGCGTGGGCTGGGGAGCCCAGGCTGGAGGCTACTTCAGTCATTCTGGAGCTGACGATGGTTTGCACCGGTGGAGTTTTGGAGAACACGAGGGATTTGGGGTGAACTTTGGGGGAAGAGAACTCAGGACTGGCTGAGGAATGGGGCCTGGGGGAGGGGGAAAGAGAAGAATCATGATTCCAGAGGTGCCATTTACCGAGGCGACGGATAGGTGGCGCTATGGTGAGCTGAGTCAGAGGAAGCTGTTCCTGGCTGTGGGACAATGGACAGAAGAGGATGCTGGTGAGATCCAGGGGAGATGGCGGAGATGGGTGTCTCCCAAGGATGGTGCCAGACCATCAATGCTGAGCTGATGGGTGTGTGTTTGCGGCAGGTGAGGGCATCACCTGGTAGCTTTGACCTGGCTAGGCTGGCAAGGGCAGGAGGGCCAGGGTAGCAGAGCTATGTTGAAGCCAGAGTCAGGGGCCTCACGTGTGCCCAGCATCCACACCCCCATTGAAGCTGCATCACATCAGGCCAGAGGGCTCAGTGCAGGGCATATGGTAGGCAGAAAATTGTCCCCACATTCCCCTAGATGCCCATGTCCTCGTCCTAATCCCTGGAAACCGTGAATATGTTAGACTGCATGGCAAGGAGGAATGAAAGTTACAGATGGAATTAAGGTTGCTAATCAGCTGACCTGACATGGGAAATTATCTTGGATGATCTGGGCGGGTCCAGTGTAATCAACAGGGTCCTTATTTGTGGAGGAAGGAAGCAGGAGACGGAGTGGCAGAAGGGCATGGCATGAGAATGACTCCGCTGGTCACTGCTGGCTTTGAAGATGTAGGAAGGGGCCGTGAGTCAAGGAATGCAGGTGGCCTGCAGAGGCTGGAGAAGGCAAGGAAACGAGTTCCCTGGAGCCTCAGAAAGGAGCACAGCCTTGCCAGCACCCAATTTTAGCCCAGCCAGACCCATTTCCAACCTCTGACCTCCAGAAGTTAACACAATTTGGTTGTCTTAAGCCACTAAGCTTGTGGTAATTTGTGACAGCTGCAAAAGGAAACGGGATGCTGAGGCCAGGCAGGGTGGCTCACGCCTGTAATCCTAGCACTTTAGGAGGCTGAGGTGGGCAGATCACTTGAGGAGTTTGAGACCATCCTGGCCAACATGGTGAAACCCCATCTCTACTAAAAATACAAAAATTAGCTGGGTGTGGTGTCACGCACCTGTAATCCTGCTACTTGGGAGGCTGAGGCAGGAGAATCGCTTGAACCCGGGAGGCGGAGAGGAGATCCCGCCACTGGCACTCCAGAGTACTCTGGAGACTTTTTTTTTTTTTTTTTTTTCTGACACTCTATCTCGAAAAAGGGATGTTAAGAGAAAGCTCGTTCTGGTTCTGCTCTAGCTTGGGGGACAACCTGCCAGTCACCCCAAGCTGGGGAGGCAGAAGGGCGCACAGGCTTTGAAATTAGGAGACCTGCGTTCAAGGCCAGCTGCTCTGTGACTTTAGGCAAGTCATGCCCTATCCCTGAGACTCAGTTTCTTTATCTGTATAATGAGGCTACAAACAGCTCCTGCCTCCTTGAGTTATGAGACAAAAGCAGATGGGACAGGTGATGCGCTTGGCCCCACGCCCGACACTCTGCGAACGCTCAATAGTCACCTCGGAATTCTCATGAGCTACAAGAAGGGTCTGCCGCCCCCCTCCCTGCTTGCCCAGAGTGTCGTCTTTTCTGACCTGACCCTCTGGGATTTGGATCCAGCCTCACCCGACCCCCAGAGCCCACTGCTGGAGGGTGTGCGGGCTGGCCTAGCACTCCGGGAAAGCCACTGGGTAGAAATGAGGGAGATGAAGATGCTGCTGTCCTGTGACCCAGAAATCCCACTCCTGGGTAGACTTCCCAGACCAGGGACCACAAAGCCTTGCGGCAGACATTGTCAGTAATAAATTATTTGCACTCAAATCCTTCGCTCAGGGTTTGCTTCTGGGGAACAAGGTGGAAGAGAGTAACAAGGTACAGGAATGTGTGTTGTGTTGTTTCTGGTACCAGGAGGCCCCCTAGTATCCATCCCCAGGGGAGCGGACAGGCAAGTCTTGGTAGAGGCAGAGTCTGGAATCCTGCAGATTGCCAGGAATCAGAAGCAATGGACTGGGTGGTTTAGCAACACATTTAGGTCTTAGAAACAGGGTGCCGAGTGGAAAAAGCAGCAGAAGTTTCTAGCACTGTGCTATTTATGTAAATGAACACACACACATTACATATTTTACAAGGTCTCAAGCACATGGGAGGATCTCTATCAACCACATGGAGGGTGCCTGGAAGGGCAAAGGAAGGGGAAGAAGCACGGGGATTGGAACGAAGGAGGAAAAATGAGTAAGATGAGACAGGCTGGCACAGGCCAATGAGGAGGCGTGCTGGGAAGCGGCGTGGTTTGTACAACTCTGGCTTTTAACCCAGGTTTAAAAAAAAAAATGAAGAGCACAGGAACAACAGAACCTTCTGAATTGCCCGGGGTGCTTGGTGGAGATACAGGTTCCTGGGACCCTCCCTTCCCAGTCGGAATGCCTGCAGGGGAGGCCTAGGAATGAGCATTTTTCACAGGCTCTTCTGGAGATTCTGAGCGAGGGAGGGGACTGGGAATGCTTGGAGCTCTCCGAGGGGCTGGAGGCACAGGAGCTGCTCTGGGCTTTGGCTGGGACTCCCCTGCTCAATGTGTCAATCTCCTTGAGGCTCTGAGTCCTGCGTCTCAGGCCATTTCCTGGAGAAATGGAATCCCTTCTGGTCTGTGAGAAAAATCTTCTGCATTGGCATTGCCTTGATCAAATTTCCATTCATGAGCTTAGAGATCCACTGCAATTTTCTATCCTTCCTTTGAGGAAAAAGGTGATGCTTATAAGTTACAGCCGAGGGCTGAGAACATACTTGCAAAGATAAATGATCATTGAGACCATAAGGCATTCTGAGTGGCAGTTCTCATGTGACCACCCTAAGGTCACATGAGAGGGTGCAGGTGCAGGGCCTGCAGGGTGGGATTTGGGAGGGTGGAATGGGATGCAGTGAAGGTCCGAGCCAGGCATGGCTAGTCGTCCCTGTGGCCTGAGCTAGCTATCACACCCACTGAGCTGCTGGCCTCTCTGAGCCTGCCTCCTCCCCTAGAAGATGGGGACAAGATTGCTGACCTCCCAGGGCTATTATGGGGATCTGGTGAATGGAGGTTTGCCGCAGGGATAAGCAGTGTCACCAGGCCTCCTGTCCCCATCGCTACATTCCATCAGGGGCATAAAATGGTTCCACAAACGGTCCTGGGCTGACCCCAGCTGCTTTCGGACCTCTCTGGACTCTATTCTTTCTGTCTTATGTCCTCAGTCCCTCTTCTGAGTGGCAGTGGGGAATGCAGAGAGAGGGCTAAGTGCACCAGGTGTTATAAATAGCAGCAGCCAGTCTCCCTCCACCGCAGACTCCCAAAGTGCCAGGTGCTGTGCTCGGAGCCTTAACTGCATGAGTCTTCATCCTTCCCTAAAAAGGCAGGCATTGGCACTGATACCCCCATTTTATAAATGAAGAAACTGAGGCTCTGAGAAGTGAAAACTTATATCTGGCAATAAGTGATGAAGCCAGAATTAAACTAGGGCTGTGGGACTCCAGGCCAAACCTCTTTGACCCCTCCCTTTTACTGCCTCCTGGAAACATTGATTCTGTTTGGGGAGCTGGGGTGGTGTCTTCACCCCTTGCATGAGTCAGGGACTGGGTTTCTAGTCTCTATTTTATATGGGCAAGATTTTGGAATGTTTTTGAGGATGGCGAGAAGTAGGCAGTTATTCATGGCTGGGGAAACGTATTTATCGCTATTTTACATTTGTAAGAGAGCAGAGTAAAAAACAAATCCACAAAACCCCCAGTTTTGCCAAACTCAGGGTTGCCATTTTGGCCTCTGGGAAGGAGACGTTGACGATGGAGGCAGAGGGTGGAGTCTTCCCCAGAAGCCCTGCTGACACCGTGATTTTAGCCCAGTGAGTCTCATAGGAGATAATAAATTCAGGCTGGACGTAGTGGCTTACGCCTGGAATCCTAACCCTTTGGGAGGCCAAGGTGAGAGAACTGCTTGAGTTTCAGAATTCAAGACCAGTCTGGGCAACACAGTGAGACCCTGTTTCTATAATTAAAAAAGAAAAATTAGCTGAGCATGGTGGTATGTACCTTTAGTCCCAGTGACTCAGGAGGCTGAGGTGGGTGAATCATTTGAGCCCAGAAGGTCAAGGCTGTGGTGGGCACACACTGTACTCCAGCTGGGTGACAGAGCAAGACGCTGTCTCAAATAAAAAAAATAAAACAAGATGATAAATTTGTATTGCTTTAAGCCACTAAATGTGTGCAAGTGTCTGGGCGCTGTGGCTCACGCCTGTAATCCCAGCACTTTGAGAGGCTGAGGCAGGTGGATCATGAGGTCAGGAGTTCGAGACCAGCCTGGCCAACATAGTGAAACCCTGTCTCTACTAAAAATACAAAAATTAGCCTGGCCTGGTGGCGCACGCCTGTAGTCCCAGCTACTTGGGGGGCTGAGACAGGAGAATGGCCTGAATCAGAAGGTGGAGGTTGCAGTGAGCCAAGATCACGTCATTGCACTCCAGCCTAGGCAACAGAGCAAGACTCCATCTCAAAAAAAAAAAAAAAAAAAATGTGTGCAAGTATGTGAAAGAAGGAAATTAACACAGCCTCCAAGGCAACTTTCCAGAAGGAAAGCATTTCTCTCCAGCACTCCGCAGGCTTTGGTTTCTTTCTTTCTACCATGCCTCTCCACGTGTGCCATTCCCTCACTCCCAGTGGGTGTCTTGGAGACCCATCCATCTCTCCCCATGGCACTCTTTCCCAGGCCCTGCAGTGTTTCACTGCCAGCATGGCTTCATCTGTCAGGATTAGGGCTCCTGGCCGGCCGACTCAGAGGCAGGTCAGGCTGCATTAATCCCCAATTAAAACGTTAATCAAAATGGATCCAACCATTAGCTTGGCCAGGGTCCTGGCATGTTAGATTTCCAAGAGACGCTGTGCCCTGGTGGAGAATCTGTCTTTCTGAGCCACCTGCCGTCGGTTCTCGCCACAGTCCAACCATCCTGGACCTTGGCCCAGCCTCCTGAAAGCTGGGGCCAAAGTTCCTGGGGAGAGTATGTGCTGGGAGCTGGGCTCTTCCCTCCATCCCTCACTTGCCCCAAATGAGAAAAAGTGCCAGTGTCCCTCCCCCTATAGAAAAGACAGGCTGCCTCTGGAGCCTCCCTGCTGTGCTGCAGGCAAGCAAAATAACACCAAATGCACGTTTGTGTTTGCCTTCTTCTGCGGGGAGGTGTTTGGGGACAAGCCAGAAGTTCCTTTTCTCTTTGCCTCCTTGTAGCTCAAAATTTGGGAACATAAGCTTAAGCAGAGAAGCAGGCTTGGGGGAGCAGTGGGGAACTCAGGATGGCAGGAAGGGAGACCTGGGCTTCCAGGAGTCCCCTGGAGGGAGAGCAAGATCGGACCTGCCTGGGGAGGTGTCGGGTGAGACAGAAAACTCAACCTCAGGGCAAGGGACAGTCTTAGGCACAATTCAGATCCTATTTCTAGCAAAGTCACTTCATTTCTGATTTTGTTAATCAAATACAGTCTGCTGGATGATAAAAATGGCACACAGTGATGGAGTGCTTGCAGCTAGGTTCTTCTTTGCCTCTCCCTTTTTATCAATTCTACTTAGAGGGGCTTTGTGAAGGGCTCCTTTGCCGGGCTTAATGCATCACCCAAGAGTAGATTCTCCCACCCCTAGACCTCTGGCAACAGGCAAGGCTGACTCTTCATCAACAGTGGAAAGCAGGGTGGAGAAAGACAGAACAGCCGAGACACCCTACTGAGGCTCCAGGAAGTGAGTTCTTTGGAGTGGGTTTGAGTCACTTAGCCCTGTATCCGGCACACATCTCTTTGTTCTTCTGTTTCCTGTGGCATCTCCTTCACCTCCTGCCAGAGCCCCGCTGGGCATCTGGGGCAGAGAATTCAGAGTTGGCGCCCAGATCTGCCGCAGTCAGGCTCTAGGACAAGCTTTGGGAAAGTCTTAGGGGATGGGGAGAAGGACATAAGGTCTGCCTCCCTTGTCACATCTCCCTCCCAGAGGCCAAAAAGGCAACCCAGAGT